GTCATGGAGAATAAGGCATTCTGTTATCCTCCTCATCTCCTTATCTAGAATCTCTGGTGGCACAGGGATTATGCTGCTAACCTAAAGGTCAGTTCAAACCCACCAACAGCTCATCAGGAGAAAGATGATGCAGTCTGTTTCTATAAAAATTTACAGCCCCAGAAACCCTATGGAATGGTTCTACTCTGTCCTATACGGCTGCTCTGAGTTGCAATAGACTCAATCGTAATAAGTTTGGGTTTCCCCTCATCTACCTAGAATCCTCATGCTAACCCTTAACTGGTGTCCTCCCAACAAAACAAAGCAAAACAAAAACAAAACCACTGTCATCAGGCCAATTTGGACTCACAGAAGCCCTATTATATAAGGTCTCTGAGGCTGTAAATCTTTATGGAAGCAGAAAGCCTCCTCTCTCTCCCATAGAACAGTTGGTGAGTTTGAATCTCTGACTTGCAGTTGGCAGTACAATGCTTATCCTATTGCGCCACTCCTAAGGTGGTATAAATGGCTAACTCTTTCAGCTGCTAACAGAAATGTAGGAAGTTGGATTCTACCCAGAGGCACATTTGAAGAAAAGCCTGGTGTGATGATCCACTTCTGAACACTCACTGAACACTCTATGAAGCACAGTTCTCTGACATATATGGGGCTACTGTGAGTTGGAATCACATGTGTGGCAAGTCCCACATCCCCAGTAAGGTCTGTCTTAGACTTGAATCTGCACAAATCCTTGAAGAGTTTAGCGGGAAGTAGAATGTTGAGAGAAGTGGGGGCAACTGAAGGACAATCTCGCTGCCCCTAACCCTTTTGATAAGGCACCATCTTAGATAACCTCTCCCAAATGCCTGACTCTGGGTACCAGGTAACTAATGTCTCCATCTAACATCAGTCACACAGTGTCTGAGTATCTGTGGAGTTTGGTTTTGTTTGTTGTGTGTTTGTTGTTAAGTGCCGTGGAGTTGGTTCTGACTCATAGTGACCCTATATAGGGTTTTCAAGGAGCAGGTGGTGAGTTGGAACTGCCAACCTTGTGGTTCAAACCAACCTGGTGGTTCAGTGCATTAATCCATAGCACCACACCAGGTTACATGGAATAATTTCCAAAGTGAAAAAAAAAAAAGTATTTTCTGGTACCCTTATATTTCTTTAATAACTTTTTTTCTAAATTATTTTGAATTTAAGTTTTAAAAAAGAATGTTTTGGTTGCAGGAGTACCTCGATTAGGAGCTTCCAGAACTTCACGTTGTTTACAGAAGAGAACATGGAAGGAGGGATATCATTGCTGATATCACATGGATCATGGCTGAAAGTAGAAAATACTGGAAAGATGGTTACTTGTGTTTTATTGACTTCAATAGAAGGCATTTAACTGTGCGTTCCCATAACATTATCAAGAATGGGAATTCCAGACTGTGTTTGTATTGTGCTCATGTGGAATCTGTACATAGACCAAGAGGCAGTTCTTAGAACAGAACAAGGGGGCACTGAATGGTTTAAAATCAAGAAAGATGAGTGTCAGGGTTGTATACTTTCACCATACTATTTTATCTGTATGCTGATCAAATATTCTGAAATAATATGAAAAAGCCTATATGATTAAGAACATAGCATCAGGATTGGAGAAAGGCTCATTAACAACCTGTGATATGCAGATGACACAATCTTACTTGCTGAAAGCCAAGAGAAGTTGAAATACTTACTGAAGATAACATAATACATTCTTCAGTATGGGTTGTACCTCAATGTAAATAAAACAAAATTCCTCACAACTGGATCAATAAATAACATCATGATAAATTGAGGAAGATTTAAGTTGTCAAAGACTTCAATTTGCTAATGGATTCACAATTCACACTCACGGAAGCATCAGTAAAGAAATCAAAGGTTGTATTGCATTAGGCAAATCTGCTGCAAAAGACCTCTATAAACCTCTTCAGAAAGAGCAGAGAAGTTGTATTTGACCCAAGTCATAGTATTTTCAGTTGCCTTATAAACATATGAAAACTGGACAATAAATAAGGAAGACTGGAAAAGAATTGATGCATTTGAATTATGGTGTTGGAAAAGAACACTGAAAAGAGTTCTTTTCAGTATCATGTTGTTATGTGCCGTGGAGTCAGTTTTGACTCATAGTGACCCTGCATAGGGTTTCCGAGGCTGTAAATCTTTACCGGAGCAGAAAGACTCATCTTTCTTCCACAGAACAGCTGTTAGTTTCGAACTGCTGACCGTGAGATTAGCAACTCAATTTGTAACCACTAAACTATCAGAGCTCCTTTTTCAGTACCATACACTGCTAGAATAACAAACAAATGTGTTTTGAAAGGAGTATAAGCATAATGCTCCTTAAAAGTGAGGATAGCAAGACATTGTCTCTTTAGTTTGGTTATATCATCTGGAGGTACCAGTCCCTGGAAGAGGACATCATGCTTGGTAGTGGGTCATTGAAAAACAAGAAGTCACTCACTGAAATAGGTTGACTCAGTGGTTGTAACAATGGGCTCAAACATGGGAAAAAGATTGTGAGGATGGCAGAGGACGGAGAAGTGTTTTATTCTCTTGAACATAGGGTCATGAATTGGAACCGACTAGAAGGTACCTAATAACAACACAACAATTGACTTTAATTCTCTGGAAAAGCAGTTTAGTTTAAGGGTCAAGATGGCATTAGTATTGTTTTAATGTTCCCACAATCACACAGGAACCTAAGAATTTGGGATTTGAGGTATCACCCATTGTGTTTTGGAGGGATCATTAATTTTCAGGTAGGCATCCTTCATATAGGGCATCCTGGTGTGGCGCTGTGGGTTAATGCACCAGAATGCAAAGCCATTTGAATTGCAAGCTTGGCGGTTCAAGCTCATCAGCTTCTCCTCGGAAATCCTATACAGGGTCGCTATGGGTGGGAATTGACTCGACAGCACTTAACAACAACATCCTTCATGTATCTATAGCTGATCTATTGAGTCTACCCATAGCAATCCACCATCAGGCTTCCCTACCCTTCATATGTTGTTGTTGTTAAGTGCCGTCAAGTTGGTGCTGGTTCATAGTGACCCTGTATAGGCTTTCTGAGGAGTGGCTGGTGGGTTTGAACCACTGACCTTGTGGCTGGCAGATTGGTGCTTATCCTATAGAATCACACCAGTATTCTATCCTTCATATACTGTTGTTGTTAGGTGCCACCGAGTTGGTTCTGACTTGTAGTGATCTTACACACAACATGAATTACTTCTTTAGAAAGTCACAGGAGACAAGGGCTGTTAAAAGAGAGGGGTCTTGGGAGTTTTCAAGACAGGAAATATCTAAAACTAGCAGCTGACATATATTTAGGCAAATAAGTTATTGTTGTTGTTCGGTGTCTTCGAGTGGGTTCCGCCTCATAGCAACTCCATGAATAGCATAGAAGGAAACCTTGCCTAGTTCTGCACCATTCTCACAATTCTTGTTGCTTTGAGCCCATTTTTACTGCCACTGTGTTAATGGATCTGCTTGGGTGTTGGGGTTGGGGGTGGGGTGTCTTCTGATTATTCACTGGCCTTCCACTTTTCTAAGCATGATGTCCTTCTCCATGTAGATATGTCCAAAGTATGAGAGACGAAGTCTCCAACCTTGCGTCTAAGGAGCATTCTGGTTACAGTCTCTCCAAAACAGATTTGTTATTTTGGCAGTTTATGGTACTTTGTGTGCTGGACACAAAGCTGGTGGTTCAAGCTCACCAGCTGCTCCTAGAAAATCTTATACAGGGTTGCTATGGGTTGGAGCGGACTCCATGGCACATAACAACAACAACAACATGGTACTTTCAGGAGTCCTGGTGTGGCACTGTAGGATAAACAATGGACTGCTTAATCACAAGGTTAGTGGCTGAAACTCACCAGCCACTCCTCAGAAACCCTATACTCGGTGTCTATTAGCTGGAACCAACTGCATAGCACTAAACAACATATGGTACTTTCAATAGTCTTTTCCAACCTCATAATTCAAATGAATGGATTCTTCTCAAATCTTCCTTATTCAGTGTCCAACTTTCACACGTATATTGAGAATACCATGGCTAGCTCCAGGCTCACCATAGTTATCAAACTGGTATCTTTGCTTTAGAATATTTTAAAGAGATTTTACCAAGCAGATTTGCCTAATGCAATATGTCTTTGGTTTCCTAACTGCTGCTTCTAAGAGCTCTGACTGTTGATTCAAGCAAAATGAAGTCTTTGACAACTTCAATCTTTTCTCCATTTACCATTATGTTAATATGGAGAGGATTTTTGTTTTCTTTACATTGAGTTTCAATCCATAAAGAAGGCTTTGATCTTCATCAGTATTTCAAGTCCTCTTTGCTTCAGCAAGCTAGGTTGTGTCATCTGCATAATCCAGGTTAATTTTCCTTCCAAAAATATGGAACATTTCCTCATTATTTAGTCTGCTCCTCAGAAACGTTGTACAAGGTCGCTACGAGTTAGTACCCTCACAATATTAATACTTTCAAGCTCGCTCCCCCAACCCCCTCCTTTCTTTCTTTTCTTTTTTTTTTTTTGAGATAGATGGTGGCATACCAAATTAAATACAAAATACCCTGCTTCTTTTCCCATGGGCCCACCTTGATCGCCAGGGGATGGGTAAACCAGCCAAGGGAGGATCGGGAGGGTTGGGTTTGCACCTTTTGGAGAGCCCAGAGGTGGCCGCGAGCCAGTAAGGGGCGGGGGCCAGACGCCTGGCCGCCTCCGCCTCGGCGAATAGCAGAACGCCGCCCGCCCAGATTGGAGCAGCAGCATCACGCTGACCTCTGACTGGGATGTAAACCGGGACCGCAGCTTCGGGGAAAGGAAAGCGTTCTGATCCTCCGAGGAAGCCAGCTCTTCCACACGACTCCACAAAGCACAGAGGGAAAGCGGCGGCTGCTCGAGTCCAGCAGCGCCCAGCGGCAGCCCCGGAAAGCGGAGGAAGCCTGACGCGGACGCAGGCGGGGAGCGTGCTCATTCGCACAGTCTACGGGCAGGAGAGGCGGCGCAAGCCATGGCCGGAGACAGCGAGCAGACCCTACAGGACCACCAGCAGCCCAACGGCGGCGAGCCCTTCCTGATCGGTGTCAGCGGGGGCACCGCAAGCGGCAAGGTACGGCGGGGCTGCGCCGCGTCGGGTCCCCCTGCCAGGCCTGGCCTGGCGGCGCATGTGGCGGGGGCGGGCGCGGGCTGAGGCAGTTGCTGCAGCCACCGCGTGGCCCGCGCGACTCTCCATTCCCGGCCGCGGTCCAGCGGCGTCTGCCCCGCGCCTCCTCGCGGCCCTGCAGCGAGCACTCAGGTCCTTGAGGTTCCCGGGGGTCTGTGGGTCACCGATCACAAGGCTGTAGAGCTAATCCCCTACTCCATTGTTTTTTTCTTTTTCTCCAGCTATGGTAACTGGTGGCTGGGATCCTATGGGGGAGGGGCAAGAAAGCGGATGCTTATTGTCTCTCCTAGGCTGATGCTGGGGACGAGGGCTTGAAACCCAATCTCGAATGAGCCCCCCATGCAAAAGGCTCCTGCCCCGCTCTCTTGCTCTAAAGTGCTCACCCAGTGGCGCAGCCGGGCAGCTAAGGGTGGAGCGAGCCGGGAAGCCCCACCGGGAGGGCTGCGAGGGTGGCTGGAAACCGCGAGGCGGGCAGCCAGGGGAAGGGGCGTCCTGCACACGGGGACTCTAGGGAATTGCAAGGACTCTGGGGTATTTTAGAGGGTTCCAGGTGAAAACCCAAGAAGGTGCAGTGAGATCGATGAAATTATAATAGTAGTAGATGTTGGGTGCTTTTTATGGTTTTTCAGAAGAAACGTGGTCGGTTTGAAAGAGAAAGTTGTACTGGCCCCATGCTGTTGGGTCTCACGTATCTTGGAACCTGGGCCGGTGGAAAGGGGTCCTTCTAAGGGCGTCCGACTCGTATGGAAACAGGTTTCCTTTGTTTTATCTGCAAGGCATGGAGATACAAGGGAAATGACTTCCTAGCTTTACCCCGGGGCTTTTTTTTGCAGGTGGCGAAGGGTGGAGTCTTCCCAGATGGTTCCCCAATTTACGATTTGGTTACTTATTTCCCCTGCCATTTAACAGCTTCTAACTTCATTTTGAGCAAGGGTCCCTTAAGGGGGGCTACATGCTGGGTTTTGTGGTGATTCCTCCAAGGGCTAGGGCGAGGCAAAGCAGGAAGGCTGGTTGGCGCCATGAGAAGCGAGCCACGTGGCTTTAAGCTCAGGAACCGACTCTACCATAGCCCCTCCTCCATCTTGGTTTTTCTTTTTCCCTCCAGGCCTGGACTACATTGAAGCGAGGGGCGCAGGCACGTCTTCTGTTGCTTCTATTCATTGTTCAAGCTAGAGTTGTCTCTTTGCTTCTAGGGCTCGTGTTTTTGCTTGTTTTAGTACTTTTAAGTTTATCTTTTGTTCCTTTAGAATTCATCTTGACCTCGTACCTATTGCATGGAACCTTTTTTGTTTCTTGGCTGTATGCGAGTTCGCGCCCGCATGTTATAAGCATAGAGTTGGAAGCCTGATACTGATGATCTGAGGCTAGTCCTCCTAGTGGGAAAAAGACAGACTTAGATAAGTGTAGATTGTAGAAATTTCATAACCTTGGTAATGATCCAAAGAATTCAGTCACTACAAATGTGAGATTTAAGATCCTAAATAGGGAAATAATTTTGATCATCTTATTTTTGAGTATTTCTTAATCATCACCTATTCTCAGTTGTGAGAATCATTGTAAGATTTAAGTGTTAACTTAGGGTAAGATGTCAGAATGGGAGCTAGTAGCAAACCATTATGTGCATATCTCTGCTGTCCCCATTTCTCACCAAGAAGGAAGGTTGTGGAAACTCTCAAGATTTTTTTTTAAAGCCAGTTAAATGTTTTGGGCATATAATAATTGTCATTGCTATTAAGTTATTTTATATAAAATTTTTTTTATTGTTAGTCCAAAGAAATATGTTGTTGTTATATACTGTATAGTCAAGTCAGTTCCCAGCGACCCTGTGTGGGGTTTCCAAGGAGCCATTGGTGAGGTTGAGCCATCGACCTTGGGGTCTAGTGCTTATCCAACAGCACCACACCAGAAAAATAGACTTTAAATTTCAAGTTGTAATCAGTTTGCTACAGTTACGTCTTGATTCTGTAATTTCCTGGGTCTGCCTGGTAACCTCAAGGTCAGCAGTTTGAAACTACCAGCAGACGTTCTGTGAGGGAAAGATGAGGCTTTCTGCTGCCATAAAGATTTTCAGCCTCAGAAGCAATGTGCAGGGTTGCTGTGAGTCGGAACCGATTCAATGGCACACCACCACCACCATCACACGCTGGTAGGAGCCCTGGCGTGGGATAAGTATTGGACTGCTAACCAGAAGGTTGGCAGTTAAAATCCACCAGCCACTCCTTGGAAACCCTTTGAGTTGGATCCAACTTGACAGCATCTAGCAATACCACCACCCTAATAGCAAGTGGGTTACCCTGGTATGCTAACTACAAGTTCAGTCTTCCAATCTAGCAGCTCCTCTGCTGGAGAAAGATGATACTTTCTTCTCCCGTAAAGATTTACAACCTTGGAAACACTACACAGGGTCACTAGGAGTTGGAACCAACTCCATGGCACCTAACCCCAACTAGCATAATGTTTGATGTTAGTTGGCTACTTACTGAAGGGCTAGGGGTTGGAATCCACCTCAAGACCTCTTGGAAGAAAGGCCTGGCAATCTTTCTCTGGAAAATTAGCCATTGAAAATCCTACAGAGCACCTTTCTCTTCTTGTAGGTGGTGTTTCATGAGTGGGAATTTATTGCACGGCCACTGGTTTTCGTTATTCCAGTTCTTGGTGCCTTTCCTCAAAGGAATAAAGAACTATTTTTTTTTTTTTTTTTTAGGATGTTACATCAACAGCATCAACAAATTGGGCCTCATTTGGAACCTTGAATACTGTGATGATGCAGTAGGGTGTGGAAACAAGTTACACACCTAGGTTGGGTATTAGTTATATGCTTACTAAAGAAATTTGGAAGAAGAAAAAGAGCATCATAAAAGACAATTCTATTGTTAGAAGGAACCTCAGAGCCACTAAACACTTAGGTTGAATTAATGAGAAAATTGAGGCCTGAGTTAATTATGTATTTAGGTCAGATTGTTATTGGTAATTCCATGTCTCAAACCAGTGCTCCTCAGTCCAGTATTGACTGAGACATGTTGCCTCATGGTCAGGTTTGGAAGAACTATAGCACAAATGCTGATTTTCAGGAAATGGAAATGCGGATAGCTTTGTATCTTGTAGCCCAATAGTGCCTAAATCTTTGTGTTTTTTTCCCTTCTCTCTCCCTCCTTTGTTAAACCACAATACCAAAAGTCCACAGTTCCAGCTTCTTTTGAGGAATATGAGACTGTTCTTGTGTGGGCACTAATTTGTCTAAATGTTGTGGCTGCCTTGAGTATAAGTATTTTTTCCTGAGTCGTAGAAGGAAGAATAAATAGTGCTTGCAGCTCTATATACCATATTTTTAAAGTTTGGTTTATAAATGAAGATAAATTAGAACTTCAGAGTAAGTGGCAGTTCAATTGAAAACTCACCTTAGAATTCTGGTGGGTTGAGACAAAGTTGTTGATTTTGCTAAGAACCAGATTTTCATAATTCCTCTTGAAGGGAGATACAGCGATAGCCAGGAGTAGCACTGGAAGGAAAACAAATTGGTGAAATTGCTAGCATCCCTATACATTGGGTGTTATTCACCATTATTCTTGTTGCCTTTTTGATACCATTAACTAGGCCCCTTAAAATAGCTTCTCACCCACTGCTCATTGGGGTGGGGACCCTATACAGGGCCCCTGTGAGTCGCAACCCGCTCAATGGCACTTAACAACAAATACTACCTGGGCTGGCTTCCTTGTGCCTTCACTCTGCCATCACAGTGGTCTTCCTTTGGTTCATCACCTATGTGCCACTCCTGTGTGGAAACCTTGGATGATCCCATTGCTCAAGGTCAGATACTTAAACATAGAACAAAATCTGTTGTTGCCCCATACACGTAAGGTCATGATTTAAGTTTTTTTTTTTTTTTTTATGACTCCATCCATATCTCCATATCTCTCTCTCTCCTTACCTCCTTTTGTTAGTAAATTAGTGTTGCTGTAACAGAAATACCCTAAGTGGATGACTTTAAAGAATGAAAGTTTGTGGTCTTAACAGATCTAGAAGCTAAAAAAAGTCTAAATGCAATTCTTTTGTTGTTAGTCCTGGACATTCCTTGGTTCTTGGCATTCCATAGGTGGCATCTGTTTTCACCACTGTGTGCTTTCTCAGAAGTGATTAGGTTTAGGATCCACTCTACACTGGCATGACCTCAATGAATTGATTATATCACATTGCATTATGGGTTAGAATTCCAACACATGTTATGGGAGAACATATCTCAGTCCATATCATTTCCTCATATCTAAACACACAGGCTCATCTTTCTTTCCCTCATCATTCCCTTATATCTAAACATACTGGTGAACTTTCACCTTACACTTTTTCTCAGGGTCATATTAGCAATGATCCCTAGATCTTTTAAGGCTCAGCTCTGTTAATGCTTCCTCCATTTGTTATCCATTTCCATAAGTCAGAACTCTTTTTCCTCACTACTGCTTCCATAGATTTGCTATATTTTGCCTTGTACTATAGTCATTTGTGATTGTTTCCCCACTGGAATATAAGTTATTTAATAACACCTTGTTTATTTGTGCCTTTATGCCTGTTATAGTGTTTGATAACATGACTGTTTGGTGCTTATTGAACTGAGATTTGTAGTTGTTGTTATGTGCTGTGGAGTCGGTTCTGACTCATAGCGACCTTGTACAGGGTTTCTGAGGCTATAAATCTTTACGGGAGTAGAAAGCCTCATCTTTCTCCCGCGGAAGGAACCGTTGATAGTTTCGAACTGCTGACCCTGAGGTTTGCAGGCCGATTTGTAACCACTACGCGCTACCGGAGCTCCTTATTGAACTGATAGGCAGACCATGATTTATAACCTCTCTTTTTAATTGTAACTATTTAAATTAGCATTTGAAGCTACACTTGAAACAGCTCTCAACTATGTTATTCTTGTTGTAATTACTACAATATAGGCAGTCCCCTGA